TAGCATGGAAATTCTTCGAAAATGACTAACGACCAAAATACCGTCTTCCCAGGATGGTTACGGCTCGTTCCGCGCAGTCGTCACAGGTCTCCTGCGATGAGCACGTGGTCGAGTTCAATCTCATTCCCCGTCTCGCTGAGCTTTCTTTCTTTTTGAAGTTGATAAATTAAGATCACACTTTTCTGAGAAGCTAGCAGCACTGACCTGATATACCGGTAGGGCTCCTCGAGTCGCTGTGTAGGTAACACAAGCATCCATTACCTTTAATGATGTCTGTTGAGCCAAACTTATGACGCATCACTCAAGAATAGATCGGCGTCGAGAGCTTCATCATATCACTTTTTGCCGTAGTTGAACATTTTGAGCTGACTCAGCTCACGGAGGAGAAACTCCATGGTGCGCTTTGTATGCTGTTGGATTAATGATTGGAAAACTCTACGAAACATTACTCTGTAAATTTAATACGTTTCATAGTTCCAAAAGTGAATCGATCTCACGCTATATATTGATAATCAAAAGGGTGGTTAACCAGAAGAGAGAGCAGCATATATCACCACTGACACTATCAACAATTAAAGCGATGACTGTGTGTCGGCGTTTGGCTGAGCAACTCTTTGTATACTGTATCATAATGTTGCAATAATTGCTAAACTTCTACTGTATCCTGTATGCATAAATTTGGACAGATGGCGGAATACATCTTTGTGGTTTAATCCAAACGCGCCACCATCTATCCATCATATACAGCTGGCATTTTAGGACTAATCATATGATTTGATCGGATCTTCTTAAGACCTATCATACCGTACATACACTGCGTGCCCGTAGATACGGCATTTGTGGCCAGTCGAAACAATTTTTCAAGCCTCTGAATCCCTTTCAAGCCCTTTTTCTAATTTGCGAGCAAAACAGTAGAACGATTATCTCAAGAAATCAGTTCGCCTCATCAAAGCTGGTCATTTACTACTAATTCGGTGCAAGTTTCAGAGCGACGCTGATTGGTTCGTACGTTATAAGAGGCTTAATCCAGCAACTGTTTGCAGATCAAAGAAGTCGTTATCAATTTTCCCACATCATATGCCATCTCAGTTCATACAGACTTTGCAACTAAATAGATCGCCATAGCTAGGTTTCCCTCGATATTTCAAGGAGACGTGCTTAACCAGTATTCTACAACGTTCAAGAAGAACACGAAAAAGCGTATTGGTTGTTAGAAGTATTGGGATTCGCACAGTGAAAAGCAAGCGGTGAAGACGGATCAAATAAAAAGAAATAAGTGAAGTGAAAAATACTTATTAGAGAGTTGAATTAGTTCTATTCTTACTTGAGAGTTGAGAGAGTTCAATAATTGCGGCTTGGACGAGTATAGCGCAGTAGTATAAACATTGTTAACAAGCAAGATCCTAGACTCTAGACCAAACCAACTAAAGCTTAGCATTACTTTAAGGTCGTGAAAGTCGCATCACAGTTTGCAGGGGACCATCTTCGATCCAAAAATGGCGATCTGTAGTTGAGATATACGACCACCGTAGCATGGTAGTCTCCTAAGTCGAGAATAATTCTACTTGACTAGCAGTTATGACAGTCATGAGGAATACCAAAACACTCCAGTAGTAGTCGTGCTTGCAAATGAACTCAATGACCATTGTGCGTAAGCGATGTGAGAGAACAAACGAAATAGAGTAGATGTGTTAGGACAAGTATACATTTTCATATTGAGTCATCTAAAAAATACATAGATAGAAAGCAGTTGTCACCTAGTAATTCTCCAGGATCTCCCTGAAAATGCCACTACAGATACCTGGCGTTGGCTGTGTTCTTAAGTAAAAACTACTTTGTATTCAATTAAGCGTTTTGTGTATTTTAGAAAGTACATTTGTAAGTTGAAGTTCACTAACAACGCTTTTTTCATTCCACTCCTCCACAACAGCTGCCACTCATCCTAAGAATCCTTGGATAAAAAGCAATTCAATTTTTACCCAAAAAACAACAGACATACAGGTGTCTTTTTGAGAACTTCAAGCAACAATAAAGGAAGCAACAGTAACTGAACGGTTCTTCTCGGTTATAAGAGACAAGGGAATATTCGACCTCACTCGCTGTACACGAATTTTTCATAATAGCGTTAGTAAACATTCGAAAGCTTGAATCTCGAGCTTAAGCCCTACGTGGTCGCTTTTCGAAACGACCCATTCTTAGCGCTGTAAAGCTCAAGATAAAATTATGTCTCACATGGGCCCCTCAATCCAACTATCTTTAGCTGTAAACACGAAAAGCACATGAACATGTAGAGGAAATCTTTTAGTATTAGAGTCGGAGGTTTAATTTGGAGTTTCGAGAAACAATTTCTAATTGGATAGCAAAATCTTGCTTTCCTATGGTCTGCGGAAGGGCCAATCGATCGACGGAGTGTTGGAGCAACCACATCCGCCCATTCTCCACCCCGTAGAAAAGTCAACATCCCCTTATCCGCGCATGTGATTTTGATCTTACTTTCCTTGTTGCCCTGCAAAAAAAACAGTTTCTCCGAAGATAAGCACAGCGCTGGAATCTTCAAATATTACGCCATCAATTGACTTTTAATAGTCCAAAGAAACAGCTCTGTCCGGCGAGAAATGTGCGCGTGTGAAAAATAATTTTATTTTTAATTTAAAAGAGTTATAAAGTGGTCCTTTCGAAAACCGGCCACATACGGCTCTAGCAAGATACCTGAGCTTTCAAATGGTTACTAACACTCCTATGGATAAGTCTTGTACAGCGAATGGGATCGAATGTACATTGGTTCCCCTATAATCGAGAAGTACGGTTTAACTTTTATTTCCAATTTATACTTCATTAATATCGTTTATAATCCGACAAAATCGTTTTCATTCGAGATTTTTAACATTACCCACTGCTTTCCGAAGTTATGCAGAATAGGGCCAGAAGAGATAGATTAAAAATTACTAAGAAATAAAAAGAAAGAAATAGAAGAAGAAGAAATAAAAATAAAAATCAATAAAAACTACATCGAATTGCTACGATGAAATCTCTAAAAATTCACTAAAATTACCTATTTTCTAGTAAGACGGTCTAATCTATAGAACTTCAAGCTAATTTTTTGCTAAATTGTCAGGAAATGATTCTTGAGGAGGAAAATCCCTTTCCAATCTTGAGAGTCCATTGTTTCAGTCTAATACAGAATGGATGAATTTGACGCGCCGTGGCCGAGTGGTCGTGATCCTCGTCTCGGCGCTCGTGGGGCTGAACCCCCTTCCACCTTCCTTTTTTCCCCATCGTTCCTTGGCACCCAACAGCGACCACCCTATGGAACACGCCAGCTTAAATGCTCTTGGGGGTTGCCAGGACACATGCTCGAACAGTACTCTACGACGTTCAAAATGAGGAGGAATAGACGAGTTGAATGCCAGAAGTATTCTGATTCGCACAGTAAAAAAAAAGATGATTGGTTCACGAGTAAATAATCAATAGAATGTAAAATCTGGGTTTATGCTGGTCGACATGGCAAAATTTTAACATTTCCAGCCTGCCTCACATACAATCAAACGTGAAGACGCGTGTTTACGTGTATCTATTTGTGTGTGTGTGTATGGTTTTGTGTGTATTTGTGTGTGCGTGTGTGTATATGGTTGTGTGTGTGTGTGTGTGTGTGTGTGTGTGTGTGTGTGTGTGTGTGTGTGCTTGTGTATATGTTGTGTGTAGTGCATGTTGCGTGTTGTGTGTGTATGTATGCGCGTGTATGTGTATGTGTGTGTATGGTTGTGTGTGTGTGTGTGTGAGTGTGTATGGTTTTGTGTGTATTTGTGTGTGCGCGTGTGTATATGGTTGTGTGTGTGTGTGCTTGTGTATATGTTGTGTGTGGTGCATGTTGCGTGTTGTGTGTGTATGTATGCGCGTGTATGTGTATGTATGTGTGTATGGTTGTGTGTGTATGAGAGTGTGTGTGTGTGTATGGTTTTGTGTGTATTTGTGTGTGCGTGTGTGTATATGGTTGTGTGTGTGTTTGTGTATGTGTTGTGTGTGTGTGTTGTGTGTGCATATATGTTGTATGTGCGGTTATGGTTGTGTGTATGTGGCATGTGTGTGATTGTGTATATGTGCGTGCGTGTATCTGCACGTTTGTAGATGTGTACGTATCTGTACGTTTGTGTGTACGTATGTACCGTGTGTATGTCCATGCGTGGTCTGTGTGTATTCGTGTCTGTTTATGTGCATGCATGTCTGTCTGTGTGTGTATGTGTCGCTGTGTATATGCTTCGTTATTGCGCACGATGGAGACTATGAATATCGATCGAGAATGAAAACATGTTGTTTTCTCTCCGTCGGTCGATCGGTCGGTCGGCCGGCCGGGCGGCCTTCCGTCCGCTCCCGTGTCCGTCGTCAGTCAACACCTGGGCTTCCCTCCGTATTTTCAAAATTTTTTCAATTAAAATCATACTTATTGATTTTTTTCCTTTTGAAAAATTCCTTTTCGATTTCTTTTCGCCTTTTTAGTGTTTTTCACCACGGGGGCACTTCAGTCTGGTGAGCACTGATAGAGGAGAAATACGCTTGATAAAATCGGTGATCCTCACTTAACATCGTTCCTAAACCGCGACTTTCATTGATTTTATTGATTTTATTGATTTTATTGATTTTAATTTTAATTCGTTTTGCATATTAAACACTAATATTTGTCTCTCTTGTGATTTACGAGACGTTTAAATATTTATTTGTCTCTACTATTATGACCACTTCGTTTTTTTCATTTGTCTGTTCCTTTCTATTTATTTTTTTAATCATTTTTTTATTGCTTTTATTTGTCCATCGATATTTAATCGCATTTATTTATTGTTTAGGGCACCTAAAAGTAAGAAAAAACAAGTTAATATGTGGTGATTTTCCGTCAATAAACGCTTTTGGAGCCAGGAAAGACCATGATCTCTGTCACGTTTGTTACCACCTTCTACGCAGCGAATTGCTTTTCTCCAAGCATATCGAATGATATGTAAAGCCTTAAGTCCTCAACGGGGGTTGAACCCGTGCCTCACGCCTTCCAGGCGGATGTGTTAACGATTGCGCCACCCCGAGGCACCTGTTTTCCTATCACTCTTCCGCCTTTTCTTTTTGTTTTCTTTAATGATTATCGTTAACTCCGACGCTAGTGAAGTGTTGTGATCGTCTTAGTTTCTCAAGCCTAATGTGTTACTTTAACTCCTTATTTAACCCTATAAGAACCACCTTTGGTAGGCAGGCGGCATTCGCAGGCGGACAGTATCTGCATGTCTGTGCACGCACATGTCTGGCCGTTTGCCTGCCTTCCCACAAGACGAAACGCCGCCATTACAGTAGCGAGTGAGATTTGACGTCTCGCGGCGTGGCACGAAATGTCCCATATGGTCTTTGATGGGTTGAAGAAAGCAGTCTTATAACTGCTTCAAAAATTGAGAGGACCACAATTCTCACAGGGCCCAACTTCTAAGAGATCGTTGGTTACTTGCTTACTTACTTGGAGACTTGGATGGTCCGTCTTCATTGGTAGTGCGAGACTCACCATGATTCAAATTCGTCTCGCTCTCAAACAGCTGTGGAGTCCATAGTGGAAATCCGTTTCGGACATGGATTCCTTCAGGATTCGTCCATTGGTGGCCAAATATAGCTTCTCGACGAGAGTTCTGCGTAACTTAAAAGAAGGGCTCAGTTCCAGTAGAGCGCCTGGGCGCGGTGGTAGAGGTGCCTGCGGCACACCCGAAGTATAAGGTTCAATCGCCGCCCAGAGCTCAGCAAGCTTTCCGTCCCTTTGGCGTCGGCCAGCTGGCACCAGACTCGTCTAGGAGGACAGTAGCACCGATCTGATATATTGGTGGGTCGTAAGAAGCCATTGTAAAAGCCAAATATGCATTCGAATCACTGCGAACGATGCTTAGTGAATTCGAATACGTGGCGCATCCCTCAGGGACTGATCTACGGTGATAGCTTTATCCTTTGCCGTTTTATCCGCTTCGGCCAGTCGTACATTCCTATAAAGTAAACAATATGATAAGGTAATTGAATGAGTCCAGTATTACGTTTATTGATTTCCCCGGCGGTGATAGTAGAAGATGTAAACAATTACGCGCTCTCCTATCGCGTTGTAACGCGGCGAAAAAAAACCCGAGAGATCAAATAAGTCGCGAGAGAGCGGTCTGATGTCTGTTGTCTTGCATATATTGCAGTCTTAGTTGCAATCTTGAAGACTAACTACCTACTTGGAGGCGCTATGGCCGAGTGCTTGTGATCCTCGTCACGGCGTTCGTGGAGCCGAACCCCCTTCCCCCTTCCCCTTTTCCCCGTCGTTCTTTGGCAGTCAATAGCGACCACCCACCCTATGGAACCTGCCAGCTTAACTGTTCTTGAGGATTGCCAGGAGACGTGCTCGAACAGTACTCCACGACGTTCACGAAGGAGACTACAAACGAACGGAATTGTTAGAAGTCCGGGGGGGAGGGCGGTCCGTACAGTGAAAAAAGTGTGAAGACGGATCAAATTTTGGTTTGACAAGAAATTTTTCGGACTTTTCCATTTAATCTTTATTTTCACTACCTTTTAGAGCAGCTTCCTGCGGTAATTTTATATATGGCACTTATACATTTGTTTCGGGAGGGAGTTATTCTGAGAGCAAAAAATGATTGTTGATGCTACTGGAGTATCGTTGGAGTCCAAATGCTGCTGAGACCTTCCGCCGAATTAGCGAGGCCTGCGGTGACGGAACAGTTGGGATACTGAAGTTTGTGGTCGTTTAGATGATCCTGAGGCTGGACATGGAGATTTGACTGAGCTCGGCCAGCAAGCGAGTCTTCAACAACAGAGACGTCTCGAATGCACTGGGAACAGCATGCCGGTCAATTTCTGTGAGGAACTGCTTCCTTGCTTGTTCGTCAAACCTCCATTTCCGGCCTTGAATTAATTGAAACGATCAAAACCTATACTTGTCCGAACTGTTAACGTCCAATCCCAAGCCTTGTTAATCCAGCGGAAAGTCTCAGGAGCTCTTGAATCCAAGCCATACTCGTTTAGCATCAGCAGTTGTTTTCGCTCTCGGTACAACTCCATCTCAGAACAAATTTACAAGTGTGTTATGCCAAAATAACCACAAGAAGCTGCTCTAAACGATGGTGAAACGGAGAATTTAAATGCGTGAAAAATAGTCAGCAGAAGCGAAAAAGTCCGTAAAATTACTCATCAACGCATTGAAAGGATTTCAAAAAAGTGACTATCTATCAACGTCGTCGGCATTGTTTAATAGTTCACAGTTTCTTCTTGATAAGCCAAAAAACGAAGCTGTTATGATAAGATTCACTTGAACAGGTGACCCCCTTTCTCCGAACTTCGTCCCTTCTTCGGAACGTGGGGTAATCAGTTGTCTACAATCCCATCGGGATAACTGGCAACAAAATGGCGGCCTCTGTGGTATAGTGGTAGCACACGTCTCAGTATGAGAGAAACGCGGGTTCAACTCCCGCCTGGGGGCGAATGTTCTGCACACCATTCAGTACTCGTGCAAATGTATTATCAACATCACCACGCTGCTGCAGAGCAGTAGAACAAAGATTCCATATAGATTATCATTTAAGCCAGCCAAACAACTCCACAGCTTCAACGGGAAGAAATCGTGGTACTTTTCGGTTATGAGGAAGCAAATGAACATTCGACCTCATTCGCTGTACAAGAGTTTTTCGTAGGAGAGTTAGTGGTCATTCGAAAGATTGAATTTTCGGCTTGCGCGCTACGTGGCCGGCTTACGACAATACCCTTATATAACATTGTAAAGTTTGAAATAAAATCATGTTTCATACACGCATCTTTTTCGCCATACAGAGCTATTTTTTTAGACTATTGGTAATCATTCGATAGCGTAAGTTTCAGTGACTTCAGTGCTGTGCTAATTATATAAAGAGACCGTTTTTTCTGCAGTGCAGCAGGGAAAGTAAGATCAAATAACATACGCGGGCAAGGGGATGTGGGCTATTCAATGTGATGGAGGAGTAGAGGAGGGGGGGGGGGGGGGGGGTGGACGGATGTCCGGTCGATCTACTGGCTTTTACGCGAGCCATAGGAAAGTGAGATTTTTGTTATTCAATCAGAAATTGTTCCTCAAAACTCTAGATTCTGACAAAAAAAAAGGTCTGACTTCAGTGCTAAAAGATTTTCTCTACACGCTCATGTCATCGTGCTACCAGCGACGCAATAGTTAGATTGCGGGCCCGATATGAAGCATAATTTTATTTTTGGATTTTACAGTGTCTAAAAGGGTCGTTTGAAAAAACCGGCCACGTACGGTTTTAGCCAGAGATTCAAGCTTTCGATTGATATCTAACACTCCTCTGAAGAACTCTCGTACAGCGAATGAGGTTAAAAATTCATTTGTTTCCTTATAACCGAAATGAACCAAATCACCAAAGTTGCATTTTAACTGCATTAAAAAACGGAAGCAAGTTTTCCACTCATTCAACTCTTTGGATACATCTTCCACTGAGTTTTCCACTTGGAAATCTGCCGCATAGTTTATATAAATAGGTAGTTTATACTTCTGATATCAGAAAAGCTTTTCCATAGTCTATGGGATCATATATGATAGCGCGACACCTTTCCCTGAGGTTCACGTTTGGATTCATGTGATTAATCGAGAATGTGCCTGATAATCATTTTTTGAGCCAGGCATGTCAGTGGTCTATCAAAAAGGGTAACTGCCCGTGACGAGATCGCAAGATCGAAACACGTGTATCGGGCTCTATAAGTCAGTCCTCTTTGATAGACTACTGACGTGCCTGGCTCAAAAATTGATTGTCAGGCATATTGAAATTTTAGCTGTGGTCTTAAGAAAGCACTTGAAACTAAAGATAATCCAGAATGCTTTGAGAGTTTTACCCGCTCAGATTCTATATTCTTCTCTACCGGCCTGGTGTTTAGACTTATCTGCGAAAAATTGTGAACATAATCCTAGTAAGTTGAGACGATTAGCAGAACTTTGAACCTCAGACCAGAGTTGAACACGTGTTTCACATATACGGAGGGTGCGTATCATCACTGCACCATCGGCCGTGGTTTAACTTTCTGCGATCCATTTCCTGGCTCACAGTCGTTCCTCCTTCTTCGTGGTTTCAAATCGGAAATGTCAACCATTTAGAAGTAATCATAACTTTGTGCGAACGGACTAGTCGAAAGAAAGGTCGTTTTCACGTATCTATATGGAGGGTCGTGTGGTGCAGTGGTTAGAGGTGATCTGTGACACACATGGGGTCGTAGGTCGATCCCGCATCCAAAGGTGATCAAGTTTTCCGTGCTCCGAGGTCGGTGGACTGAAACCAGCTTTGTATAGGAGGATAGCGACACTGATTTCGTACACCGGTAGGCTACTGCGAGTCAGTGTGAAAGCCAGATATGCATTCAAGTCATCTCTGACGATACGGGGTGACGGCGAATGCATGACGCATTCTTCAGGGACTGATCAACGCCGAGAGCTCAACCTCTGTTCCTTCAAATCTGTGAAGCAGCCATCTCAAGATGTAGCTTCGCCGTTGATCATTTCCTGAGGGGTAGCCGTGCAATTGCTTTCATCGGCATCGTGGGAGGTAATCAAAACATATTTGTGGCTTTCACAGTGATTCACGATGATCTACCGATGTATCAAGTAAGTGCTGCTGCCCTTCCGGACAAGTATGGTATGATTTTGCTGGCCTCGAGAGGATGGAAGGCTTGATGATTTTGGCGCGAGATTGAACCTACAACCCCTTGTCTTGCAGGGCATCACCAACCATCCCTCCGTGAGCTCCTAGCCTTTCATTCGAATACATGATGGTTTTTTTTCTCTTACTAATGTTGATATTCAGTCGCCATTCATTCGACAGCTGTTTTTTTTACGATGATAGATGGAATGCACTATTATATCATTAGTCTGTCAGAGTGTCTTATCCTTCTTTTCCAGAGATTCTGTGGCGATCATGTCGATGACCAGTCTGAGTGCGAAATCACGCCGTCCCGAGGACATCGTCATGGAGGGTTGGCTGCATAAGAAAGGCGAACATATAAGAAATTGGAGGCCAAGGTTCGTTT